GTACCAAGTTACAATCCAATACCATTTAATTCATGCTATCAAGTGACAATAGAACTTTTAACATAACACAATGAGATGTAATTTCACAAAGTTAACAACTTGGAATTTAAATGCGAAATCAAACCAAAGTGGATACTTGGGCGTCATACCGGATCAAACCGACAATGTGGTTACTTTAGGGTTACTAGGCCATGGGTAACCTCCCTATGTGCGCACTAGACTATATAGAGGGACAATCCCCGTACTAGAACCAAGTCCTAGCCGTAGCCAAACAACGACATCCCTAAGTTTCCAAAATTAACAAATTGTGCAACAACGTATATATATCAACATATCAACTCTTTACCCAGCACAATCCAATTTTGGAAACTTATACAATACATGCTCAAAGTCTACAACCACTATGGCATGAAAGATGTCAAATCCAAAGTATGCAATTCCTTATACATGGCAACAATATATTCAATAAGGAAAAACATATTCTCATGAATATAAAAGTAACAACTATGTTATCCAATGCTCAAAAATAATCAAGTGAACATACACCAAATCCAAATTCATGATTTAAATATAAAAACAACTTCCAAAATGCAATTAAATCCATGGAGTAATAAAATAGAATTTAATTAAATATAAATAGTTAAATTCTCTAAATTCCAAGTTAACCTCAAATAACCTCAATTTAATAGATATTGAAGGATATGTCATGGTCATCAGATATATAACATCAAATGACAATTTAAGTGATTAAAACACTTAAAACAAAATTAATCAAACTAATTAATTAATTCCCTCTAGATTTTTAAACAATTCCAAATGCCCTCAATTTAATTTATGTTAGAGAACATGCCAGGGCCTATCCAAATATCACATTACATCATTATTTCATGCTTGCTATCACCAAGTGAATTAAACTTTCACAAAAGATAAATATTAAATAAATTTTGCAATTCTTATCCAAATGTCCCAAATTTAATATATGTTATAGTACATGTCATGGTTATTATATAAATCACTTCAAAACTTGATTTAAGTCATAGGAGCATATAAATAAAAATTAATTAAATTAATTCGTTAATCCTTCTAGATTTTAAAACAACTCTAAATGACCTCAAATTAACATAAGTTATGAATCAAAGCCATGGTCATGTTATTTATCAAGTCTAAAGTGAATTACATACAAGTTACAATTAATCATTTATTTCTCATTTTAATACAAGACAAACATATAACTTAGATATCACTATAGGAACAAATAAAATCGCTTGGAAGATAAATGATAACACCCCCTACCTCAATAGAGAATTGAATCTCTATAATCCAAGCAACCAAGTTCAAAATGAAAAACAAGTTTAGGGTTAATGAAAAAGGGAGTGAGAGGAAGCTTTTGTCTTCTAAGGTTTTATGTCTAAGGTGAATGGAAGGAGGCCAAAATGAAGAAGAAAGTTATTAACCAAGCTTTTCTCCAATGGTGGCTAGGTTATGATTCTTGAAGACAAGTGAAAATGAAAATGATAAAGTGTAAAATGGTGAGTGGAAGGGCTAGAAATCCTCCACTCACTATGTGCTCTTACATTACCTCACACACACACACAATGTAAGACTAAATGGTGAACCTACACTTGTCATGAATCTATGGTTCATTCCTAGGCTTAATCTCAAGCCTACACTTGTCACCATCCTATGTAAACTTCCACGACTTAATATTGAACCTACATTTGTCAACCATCCATGCCAACAAGTATACCAATCCTAGGCCAACAAGTGGGTGAATCTCCACCCTCCACATGTCATCATCCAAGACATCAAAGTGTTTCCACACAAATGTCAACAAGTGGACCAATGAGAGTGTGACACTTGTCACACTTTTTCAGAAATTGCAAACAAGTCCTTTTTGAAAATATTTTCTAAATTAAATTGCAAAATGGACCCTAAGATGAAAAATAATTACTTTACTTAATTACTCAAAAACCCCTCAAGTTATGGATAATTACAAAAAGTCTTATTTTCATGGCTTTACAAAGAAAGTAAGCATTTAATATGCATTTGTACAAAAATAAAAATGTAAATGTCATGGAATTTAATTATCATGGACATATGCAAAACTGGAATGAAATCCGAATAATGTCAAAAAACAAAAAAATGTGGAAATGACTCGATTCTCAAAGGAAGTTGTCATTCCAAAGGAAAGAGTCTCAGAAACCATTTCCGAGCACTCGAGACAACACTAAGAGGCGGGAAATCAAACCCGAAAAGGAAAAAACAATGAAAAAAATTTATCCGCAAAATTTGAAGAAAGGGAAAGAAATGAAAATGACCGGGTCATTACAGATATGCCGATATGGGTTTTGATATAAGTAATAGGTTTTGAACTTTTGATTCTTGATAGATAAACTGAAATATATGGGTTTTGAACTTTAGATTCTTATAGATTTTGTAGTTTGTAGTTGCACACAGAGAGAGAGAGAGAGAGAGAGAGAGGCAAGTTCATAGTTGAGAACGATAATAGAGAAGGAGGCGATTGGGGAGGCTAAAATGATTTGCCTTAAAAATGTTTTTTTTTTTTTTTTTTTTTTTCTTTTTTCTTTTCTGGGTGTATAAATTTTGAGGCCCCATAAATTTATATTTTAAAATATATAAGGGTATAATAGTAAATTTATTAAAATATTTTCCTTTCCTTTCATTTTCCAAACATGATTATTGTCTTTTCTTTTTTTTTTTTTTTTCTTCGTTAATCAACTAAACACGATAAGGGATTAAAATTATCATTTTTTTCCTTTCCTACCATACCAAACATAACCTAAATGATTTGCGTGCGTGTAGTTTGTAAAAAAAGAATGAGTAAAGTACAGTTACACCCCCTGAGATTTGGCAAAAGGACACTCAAATGAAACTTATCTGTTTTTTGGATAAAGACACCCCTGAAGGTTTAAAAATAGACAAAGTCACTCCTTTACATGAAAATTGACCAAATTACCCTTTGACCATTTAGGAGACTTTTTTAACTTTATAATTTAATAAATTGGACCAATCTACCCTCATGAACAATTTATGTATAAAAAAAAAGGTAACCAATAAAAAAAAAAACTTTATGTTGTTCACTTTTTTTTTTTTTACTTTATAGATGTCCCAACTTCTTAAAAATGTAGACGTTTAAAATGATTTTTTGATTCAATACATATATTTCAAATAAATTATATTTTGTTATTACTTCTTTTCTTTTTCTTTTTTATTTTAAAATTAAGATGCTTAATTCTTTCATCTAAAAAAATTAAATTAATTTATTTTCCTTAAAAATAAAAAATATGATACCAGTATAACTTTATGCATTTTAAATTATATATCAAATATTATGCATTTCCCAACACAAAAGGAAAAAAAATAATAAAAAAACAAAGGGAAAAAATATAATAAAACAAAGGCATGCATAAAGTTAAGATGCATAAAGTTATATTGGTACCTATTTTCTTTTATGTTGGGAAATGCATAATATTTGATATATAATTTAAGATGTATAAAGTTATATTGGTACCATATTTTATATTTTTAAAGAAAAGAGATTGGTTTAATTTTTTAGATGAAAGAATTAAGCATCTTAATTTAAAAATAAAAAAGAAAAAGAAAAGAAATAATAACAAAATATAATTTATTTGAAATATATGTATTGAAGTAAAAATCATTTTAGACGTCTATATTTTTAAGAAGTTGAGATATTAAAAAAAAAAAAAAAAAAACAATATAAAGTTTTTATTTATTTATTTATTTATTTTTATGCATAAATTATTCATGAGGATAGATTGATCCAATTTATTAAATTGTAAAATTAAAAAAGTTTCCTAAAAGGTCAAATGGTAATTTGATTAATTTTTTTATGTAAAGGAATGTTTTTGTCTATTTTTTAACCTTCAAGAAGTATTTTTACCTAAAAATAAATAAATTTCTTCTTAGTATCATTTTGTCAAACCCAAGAATTCTAGCCGGACTTTACCCAAACAAAAAATTTAGGGGTGGAAGGTATAATTTAACGTAGTTTCAAATTTCAATGCATCATTGCACTATTGTCTTGGGCAGTGAAATGGTCAATTCGAAAAGACACAAAAGCACAGAGAAAAGTTGTGAGCGTGTTTCAAATTTCAATACGAAAAGAGCACAGGTGTGGAAGAGAGAGAAATTGTGGAAGTTCTGGGATAGAGAAGGAAAGAGATTTTGAAGCATCTTCTCCGATAGTCTCTCTATCTCTCCAGTATTTACTCCATTGGAGTATTCAAGTGTGTACTAAGTCGATTTCTTCCTTCTTCAGGTGACTGATTTCCTAAACCCTAGCTTATTTTTGCATTTGGGACTGTATGCATTATTTGTCTAGGTTATACACACACACACATGCACTCATATATACATCAATGTTAATTTAGTTAGTCGCTTTCTTCCTTCTTCAGGTGACTGATTTCCTAAACCCTAGCTTAATTTTGCATTTGGGGTTGTCAATTTAATATGTATATGTGTCTAATATAACCAATGTATATATATGCGTGTATATATATACACGCACTCATATATACATCAATTTTCCTTGCAGGTAACCATTGTGTAAAATCACTGAGTTCAAAACCCTCATAGGCAGTGACGGACCCAGAAAATTTGGTGAGGGGGGGCGAATTTTTAATTTGTGGGTACAAAATTATATGATGAGTTTATTTTTGTAATTTTAGCAGGGTTTTTTTCATAAATTTTTAAAAAAATTAAGTATAAAATGAAAAAAAAAAATTAGTGGGGCAAATTATAATTATAGTGGGGCATCTTCATAAATTATCAAAATTTGAAGTATAAAATGTTAAAAAAAAAAGAATCCAGTGGGGGCGAATTGTAATTTTAGGGGGGGCATTTTCATAAATTTTAAAAATATTAGGGTATAAAATGAAAATATTAAAAATTCAGGGGGGCATCTGCCCCCCCTAGTCCCCTGCTGGGTCCGTCCCTGACTCTAGTGGTACTAAAACTAGATGCTATGTTTGCTCTCAATGTTCCAAGAATGGTCTGTCTCCCCAGCCTTAAAATCCTCCATCTTGATAAAATTGTGTTTACAGATGGTGGCTCAACTAAGAGGCTCGTTTCAGGCTGCCCTGTGCTTGAGGATTTGGTGTTAATAGCATGTTATTGGGAAGATCATAATTTTAATGTTTTTAACATTTCAGCTCTTTCACTCAAGAGTTTGACTATTCATAGCGACATTCGGAACTACAAGTTTGTGTTTAATACGCCAAATCTTCAGTATCTTCAGTACTTTGATTACGTAGCAGCAGAAGGGTATTCGATGGATAATTTCAATTCTCTGGTTGACGCGGACATCAAATTGATGTCAAACATCGAATATGGAATAGGAGGCAGCATTATTGGTGATAAATCTGTAGAAGAAGTTAATGTAGTGAAATTTCTTGGAGGAATATCTAAAGTGCAGCGGCTTTATTTTCATTCCGACTCCATAGAGGTTGTTACCTTTGTTAAATCATATTCTGACTCCTGATTTATGTCTATTTGTGATGCTCTTTTTGCCCAAATATACTAAACTGTTGAGACTATATGTATCGTGTTACTCCCTGTAGATATATACTGACTTGGTTTTGTTTTTGCATGAAGGCACTTCATGGGTGCTCACTCCCAAATTTTTATCATTTGACTTATTTGGAGCTGGGTGTGCTTGATGAGGGTGATACTGATGGATGGGAATTGCTTCCTGAATTGCTTGAGCGCGCACCAAAACTGGAAACCCTTGTTTGTAAGGTGACGAGCTAAACTACTTTGTTTTGATTAAATTCAAAGTTATTCGTGCAATTACTCAATAGTAAATTCTTTTCTGGTTAGGAACTTCTATACCATGGACATGATTGCTATACAAAGCACCAATTTCGCTGGCATACACCAAGTATTGTGCCATCTTGTTTGTTGTTCCACCTCAAGGTAATTGAAATTAGGTACTTTTATGGGACGAGTGACGAACTGAAAATGGCCGGGTATTTCTTGAAGAATGCTAAAGTTTTGAAGAGATTCGTAATACGTTCCGCTAGGGATCAACAGTCAAAGATTTGCAATACGTTGTTGGGGCTACATAAGTGATCAAAGACTTGCCGACTTGAGGTGACTTGATTTGATTGCAATAGGCGCAAGAGTTTTGCAGAGGATGTCATGACCATCTAAATATTTTTGGCTGTGATTCAAATTATGTTTTGCATTTCAGTTTGCTTCCAGAACCTCAAATGCTTTGTTTTGTAATGTTCCATGGAGGGCCATGAATGCTTTAAACACTATTGTCTGTAATTTTTTTGTATGCAAACATTAAGTATATCTTATTTTCGCAAATTGTAGATTCCTTGAGCATTCCTCTCACAATTCTTACATAAGTTTGATGGGAGAATCTCATTTTTTAAATATAAAACTTCTATAACTTTTAAGTAGAGTACAACAATTCTTTAAATATAATATTTTTGGACGGCTCAAAAATATATATTCCGGTTCACATGTCTTTGCTCGAACCACAATGCCACAATTATTTCTCATAGCGAATTTATCCACAACCCGACCATCACGTGGGAAGAAGGCAGTGTCCACATTGCACTTAATAGACCCAGCAAGTGGCCTTGTACAGGGCTAAAACTTGGGCAGGTTTGAGGTACAAGGTACAACTCGAGCAAAGACCATTTCCAATAGTAAAAGTCATTTTCACATGCCAAATATATATTTTGACTGGTGTTACAGGGTCAAAATATTACATTTTATCAATTCTGCTCCAATGGTGCATTTCATGCAAAATGCTATTTTTTGATACAACCATCATTTTTTTTCAACTACCATTCCCAGCATTCATATTTGCATCAGTAATATTAATATTAAGTACATTCCAAGTCAAGTTGTAGACATTAGAAGGAAACTAAAATTAAACATAATTAGAAAGAAGCAAAAATCTAAAATATCTGGTCAAAAAAGGAACCAAAAAAAAAAAAAAAAAAAACAAATTTTTTATTATTTTTTTATCACTATTTGTGAATTAATTTTTTTATATAATATATATTTTTTCTTTTTTTTTAAAAATTTGTATATATAGGGGGGGGGGGGGGGTTAAGAACGAGAACGAGAATAGAGATGGAGGCAATTGGGGAGGCAATGATCCATTTCAACCTGTCGATCAACCAGCACAAAATGCTGGAATCTATAGGGCTCAGATCCTAGCCTGGATCCAGGCCGAGGTAGCTCAAGGGAATAACCAGGCTTCTAACAAAGTGGTGATAAAAATCATTGAGAAGATGATGGATGATAAGTCTGTTGGGGAAACAAAAGTTTTAAAAACTTTTAGAGGGATTTTTAAATAAAGATCTTGATTCATGTGTAGGGATAAGTTTTATGCATGAAGTTCATGATGATTCATTCAATTAGAGATAGAAAACTTACATCAATGTTTGAGTAAACTTTAGATCTCTCCTCTAAAGTGAATATTCTCACTTATTATAGATCCCTTTGCTAGATGCTTCTTCCTTGAATCTCCATCATGTTGGTAATGATCTTGCCTTTAGGAATTACCCATAAGCCTCCATGAATAACCTTGGATAGCTTAGCTTGTGGGACCCTTCATTAGATGAGAACACTAACCCTAAAATCTTAGAGAGATAAATTTTTTTCTTGTTTTCTAAAAATTATTGTACAAAGGTATGGCCTAAAATATACATGGACCCATGTATATATAGGCAAAATAAAAATAAAAATTAAAGACAATATATTTTTCTCAATCTCTTAAATTCACGTGATATCTCAAATTTAATGGACCTCCAATATCAAGTTGGGCTATGAGTGAGAATCCTTTAGGCTTATTATTTTCTTGGCTACAATGAATTAATAATTAACCTGATCCATTATACCATGAACCCAATTCAATTAATTCATAAATTAATTTCTCTCCACTAAAAGAAATTAATTGAACTCCAATTAAATAATAAATAACCTCTAAGTCAGTGTTTCACTTTGACCCCTCTATGCATAATTAGTTATCGGATAAATAAAGTCATTAATCAGACTACTAAATTAATATATTTATTTTCATACCTTTAATTATTTCCGGCTTGATCACAATAAAATATTTGTTTGACAAAAATAATAATTTAAATAAATAAATATATGGAAAATCATTTTGTCTAAAAACACATAAAGGCCTTCGAATTTACTTTGTGATCAACCATAATCAATACAAAATAAATACAAGTACCAATGATACATATATTGAAAATATGACCCTCTAACTATTAATTATATAATTACCCAAAGTATCGGTCTATGGATTCCGAAGAATCCGTCGAACAAATTAAAGTAATTACTAATTAGTAAAAGAATCTATACTTCTCTCATGCTTAAGAGTCAAATGCCATGACAATGATAGGGAGCAATTGCATACGATGGCTCTCGCAATATATCTCAATCTAATGCGGATCCAGTTCAACTCTTAGTTAATAATAAGTCTATCTATAATTACCGACTATGAACTATTTATGATTACTATTTATGTTCATGTTTTGATCGTCATCACATACATATAAATATCTCTTGTAATCAAATGGACACTATCAATTCCATAATGAATCAAAACATAATACATTGAATTCACCAATTGTAAAAAACATAAATATTTCAGATATGTTAGGAACATATGTTACTTTAATCCAACTATGAATTCGTCATGCCAAGGCATACAAATCCCAACAAAGTCAAGAAGATGGCATGAGACTTTATCAGAAGATTTGTAGGCCTACAAAACTTTAAAAAGAACACGTATAGGGACCATTCCATATCAATGGACTTTTAGGCATGATGGAATCCTGCTGATGGAGTTGAATGTAAAATCGGCAAAGGTGATTCTACAACATATCTTGACTTCTGCCGATTATAGTAAGGTCATGCTTGCCAAGATAAAATACTTAGGTGAAATACAACAAGCTACATTTGACCATCTCATGGTTCACAAGAAGAAAATGGTGAGAGATTTTTATAAAGGGGTGAAATAATTTAAGTCCTTTGCTGAAAAATATATGGTTTGGATGATTGTGATTCCACCCGGTAAAAAATATGAAAAATGGTCCCTAACTTGGGGTAGGCCTTGCTTGTTTCATCATGTATCACATGAAAGGGCTTACAAATTGAAAGATTTGGATGGTGAAGCCCATGAAAGACCCATCAATGGCAATTTTGTGAAGCCGTACCAATCTACCATTTTTGATCCAATGTAGAAGAAAAGGTAACCATACTCAGCCGAATTCTAAGGCTGGGGTGGTTTCTTTTTTTATCTTTTTACTATCAAGTGTTATAATAAAATGATCTGCTGATTTTAGCAGGGTCATATAGGTTTGGTTAGTTATCTATTTTGTTTTTATCTTTTGTTCTGTTATCTTACAAATAATGGGTTGGAGGCAGTCAGTTTTGGTTTTGGAAACTGGAGCTATAATGGTAATTTCTACGCAGCTATATATCGCGGAAGTGATTAAACTGAAGGGGTGCTAAGTTAAATTTCAAATATCTTATCCATCGATGGCCGATAAGATATTTAAATTAGGGGGACATTGTTGACACCCATTTTGACAAAATCTTATGTTGATGATGTGGCAGCCATTTTGGTGATGATGTGACATGTGGGCAAGGTGATAAAATGATAGAATGTTTTGAAGAAAAGAATATGGTGCTAGAGTGTCCTTATTTGTTACGTAAATTGAAATAGTTTCAATAGATAAAGACATAGTGCTTTTGTTGGGATAAAGTTTAATGGATAAATAAAAGTGATAAAGTAAGAGTATTTAGGTGATGATCAGGTTGATTTATTTATTTGTAGGGAAGTGATATCACAAGAAGGATTTTATCAGAATGTGTAATTTCTTCAAAAGACATATGGCACCTTAGATATGATATGGCTTATATCCAATATAGTTTGTTTAGCAATTAATTTCTATCTTTTTATATGTAATTAGTTATTTTAGACCCTATAAATAAAGGAAGTAGCAGATGTTGTAAAAGGTAAGAACCCTCAGAATCCTAATTTAATATAATTTTGTTTTCTTAAGCTCTTCTCACCTCATTCAACTTTCTTTCTTTAACAATCTTTCTATTCCCAGTCTTTCTTTATCTTCTTTATCCCTCTGTTTTTCTCTTCTATATCTTTCTCTCTCCTTCCCTTCTTATTCTATTTTCATAGTTGTTACAATTCGTTAATTATAAAAGTCCTTTCACTAAGGCAAATTTAACTCATAGAGGAGTTTTATGTTCTTTTTCTCCTCCAATCGCCTGATAATCAATTTTCTTAAAGAGACTAAGGTTGACTACACACATTCGAATCATATTGTTGGTTTTGGAATGCCAGCATCACCAAACTTTTGAATCAGCGAAGCTTGCCGATTTTAGGGTCAACAATAAGAAAGGCAACCAATGAAAGCATGCCACATCAATATATATTTATAATCCACATAACATATCTGCATATGCTATTACAACCGAATATAAGCCGTCAGCGTTTACTAGGACACCTGATCATAAGCCACTATTGCTTATCTCAACTGCCTACACATGCCTCATTCTGATTGGATGGTTGTCTGATAGGCACACATACTGCCCACCAGTGATATGTGGATGCCATGGCCTAAGCCATGCACACTGAGTTAAGCCTACGTATCTGAATAACCATAATCTAACTAAGCCAAACCCGCACCTTAGTCCATTAGGACATAGCGCTGAGACATGCCCATACCTTTGTGCCCATACCTTTGAGACATGCCCATACCTTTGGTTTGTTGGTACATGGCGCTGAGCCATGCCGACTCCACATAAACCATTCCTTGGTCAGGGACATGGTGTTAAACCATGCCTACACCTTCGTTATGGCGTTGAACCATGACAATACCAAGTGAAAGTCCACCATGAGTGTAGGAGGCTATGATTCCAAGTAAACTTACAATTGAACCCATATTAAGTCTGGTAACTTGCCAAAGGACAAGTTAGCACACACACAAGGGCCCATGGGTGCATGGCATGCCAAGTCATACACAAGGCTAGGGACACACGCACGTGTGTTCTAAGAGTGTCACGTGCGCGTGCATAGTATGTGCGTGCGCACAATGCACACATATCCGCCCTTTAGTGTCTTGCGCAACATCGGTGCTGCCATCTCGTGCCACCACTTTGGGGTGGTATAAACTGTTGTTAAGCACGTGCCCTAAGTTCCCAATACGTGTTTCATTTAAGGTGTGTTATGGCCTTGTTGAGTGGCATGGGTGCTGGGGGGTCTTTGATAAGTACTGAAATGTGCACATTTCATCCCTTG